GACAAGCTACAGACTATCACCAGAATATCTGACTCCATCCTCTTCTAAAAATCTTGGGGCCAGGGGGGGAGCTCAGCAGCCTCTTGCGGTGAGTGACCTTTCCTGGACCAGTCGCTAGTTCTTTGGCAATAAATATAAATGCCGATGTGGATACCTTCACACATTGTTTCTAGGCTCCAGAAGTTACTTACTGTACTTCAGTCTGGCCGAGAATTAACATTTGTGTTAGTGTATGTTAGTTCTGACACATGCTAGTAATATTGCCAGTTGGCACTCTATCAGATCCAGTTACACAAGGATGGAAAATGACATTTTTGAAGTAGTTAAAGGAGCATGCGTAGACAGCTTGGTTCCATTCTGCTGTGATAAGCTGGCTATCTATGCCAGAAATTAACCTACTTACTTGATGAAAAAATGAACCTGTGTGTTGCTAGCAACTCCTACCAGGTGTTCTTTGTGTTATTTTGGGAGTGTGCATTACCACGGAAAAGGATTCTGCTGTGCAAGCAGAAGTAAGTTACGAAGATCCCCACAAAGCATACTGACATTTAATATGCTGATTCAGAGCATGCTACTGGGAACACAACGTTAGCGCTTAGGAGCTAGATGGGCTGTCCACCTGTCCGGGTATAGTTTATGGCCATGGCGCACAAGCTTTTTGAATCAGTCCAAATCTGCAAATCTTTTGACATTTTTCACCTCCCACTTACCTTCACCAGATGCAAACTAAGGGACACATGGATGTCACTGTTGAGTAGACTGCCACAGAGCATTCACTCAAGCCATGGTCTGGGAGCCCCTGTCTATGGGTGCAATGAGCTATAAACCTGCCTGTCTGAGGATTTTGCATATATCAGTGCAGACAGCATGTCTGAGCTTGGTTCTTCTTGTAAAACAAAAACAAAAGAGTGGGGAGGGAACCTAGAGGCAGTGGTATGAAGGCATGCTTTGTGAGGGCTCACAAACAAAAAAACCTGGGAGCCCTTGTTCTGACACAGGTTGTGTTTGGGGCATTTGGAGGCATACTGGCAAACCTGAGATGGGCATATATATGCGTCTCTTCTCCAAAGTGATAGTGGACAAGGCATTTCTGGCAGGGACTGAATGGCCTGGTTTCTGTTGAAAATGCCATTTCTGATGAGGCTTTGTTAGTGAAGACAGGGCTTTCAGGGACCTGAGCCCTTAAAAGACTGGGAAGTCCTGGAAATCCCCACGGAGCTCTCATTCTGCTTATGCGCTCGCTTTTCGTGCTGTGAGGTCCTAAGTCTGGCCCTGCACTGGATCTGGCTCCTCTGTAGGCCAAACTCTGCTCTGGGAAACGAGCAGACAATGGCTTACATATTTTGCCTGATATGCACCTGCAAAATCCAGCACCCCACAAACAGCGACCATGGGGTATGCTGTCTAATTTCTGATTAATTCCCCTCTGGGAGAAGGCTCAAACTCACATCTCCCAACGAACTGCCCTTGTTGCTACTCTCGAGGCCAGCCTGAAAGGAGCAGGTTTACCACCCCAACCAGTGAGCGCGGTGCCATGACGTGGGAGAGGACTTCATGCAACCAGACAGCGAGTGGGACAGCTGTGTGCTGGGGGACTCCTGTGCCCAGGGTTTTTCTTCATAGACCATTCTTTCTTGTTCTAGGACCAATGCTGCTTCCTCTGCCTCTTCACGTGAGCAGCCAACCACTGGGATGCTCTCGCTTTTGTAAAAGAAAAAAAAAAATGCAATCCTGGCATCCGTTTTGTCTTTTCATTGTGATTTCAAAAGAAACAAGTCATCTCTCTAGGTTTTGACGAAGACTGAAGGTGCTAGGAGCGGCTGGAGATTCCTACCTCACACAATGAAACACTTCCCAAAGGAATTGCATATTCCTATCCCAAGCATTTCCTTACTTGCTGGCTCTGGCACATAGCCGATAGCACTTTAAAGGGCTTCCATCTCACTAAATCAGCCACAGCGTGCTGAGAGGGAGTCTAAACCTCTCTAAAGTTCCAGATGCTGCTCCTAGAGGAAAGTGCATGGCTGTTGGTTGTCATGCACAACTCTTTTAGATCCTTAAGTTTTTAATTTGACCTGTCCCCAGAGCCAGGATGCTGGATGTAATTTTTTATTTAATACACTCAGCAGAGGATAGTCAGAAGGCCTTACAGCTTTTTTCTGGCTTTCCATGTATCAGTTTGGCCTACAGTGCCTCGCTAATCTGTTGGCACAACTTGACAGACGGTATCTGCAGGAGCCATTTTTGTCTAGTTATAGTAATTCCTCAGCTGTATTCTGCCCTCGACCTCTTCAGGAATCCCCAGGCTGCATATATCTATTTTTAAGACATCATACTGGCAGCAGGTAAAGGTTATAGGAGGAAAGGCAATACTGCCTGTGTTTGCTAGGTCAGTTTCCAGTGTTTTGATTTTGCCTGTAGGCTGACATTTTATAGTTAGCATTTTCCACATGGTGAGCTGAGTTTTTCTTTCTATCTGTAATAGGTGAGTGGACATTTGAATGGCACCCCGGTGTAGCTACCAGTGGGGAGAATGATTTCATTATCTCCTCCCACAGCCTCCTTTCCAGAGTTGCCTTGCATGTCAAGGTGGGGCGGGAGGGTTGGTTTGTGACTGGGAGGGTCAGTCTGTCACGGGGAGGGTTGGTCTGTCACAGCCGAGGCTGTACTACACACTGGTCCCTTCAGAGGCTGAACTGTGGCATTTGGTGAAAGGTCGATGGCTCCAATTTCAGCTGGCGCCATCCACCCGACTAACATTTCACATCAGTTAGAGAAGGTGTCACCTTTAAGGCACAGGACTAGTCTATATGCCAGTGGAAGTGTGAATCACCCCTGAGAGCTATTGTGTAATCTTTATATTAGAGGACAAATCTCCCACAGATCTGTCAAATCGAGGTGTTTATTTTTTTTAACCTTTCTATGATGTTCCAACACATCTTACTGAGCGGTTCTGAGGCTTATAAAGAATCATCACACATTTTTTAAACAATCTGATTTCTCCCCCTCCTCGTCTTAAATGGTAATTATTTCTATAGTTTAATCATTCGGGTTTTTATAATTCAGTGGGAACACAGTATTTACCAAAACAGGGTAAAGTTTTCATGCAGCCCAGTCTTGTGCCTTTATCCAAGTTTTATTCTTTTACTTCTCTTCTTGCTCCACTATTGGCTGCAATATTTCTGGAAAGCTCGGGCATTGAGTCTCTGTTCTTTACACATTAGTGTAAGTTAAGTTCATATTGAAGGTGTGTTATTTAAGCAGCAACTCAAAGCATTGTGCTTAATACATACTAAAAAGTATCCAGTACCTGTAAAAAGCATTTGGGGATTTTTTAGTTTAAAAAAAAAAAAAAAAAAAGAGGCAAATAATGGACTTACTAGCTCTGAGAACACCCTTTGAATGACTAACTCCAAAACAAACTTTCTGTTAGAAAAGAAGATCTGAACTTTGTCTTTTTGGCCAGTGTAAAAGATCACTTGGAATCAACAGTAAAGAAGATCTGCATGTGATGTTTTGACAAATGTTAGAATCCATAGGCCAACCCCACCCCGTTTCTTATTTGCTGAATTGATTGGGTATGCTGATGGTATTCTAGCTACACGGCAGAGAGATTTTGCATTAAAAGCATGTTAGTACTGGTCAGGCTGACATCTGCCATGATGAAGAAATAATTTGCAGAATGTAATGGCTGTACTTTAAGCCAGCAGATCTGTTTGCATGTATGATGTGAAACCTGTCCCCTTCTTTTATTAATAGCACCATGTGGTATCCCAGGGCTCCCTAAATATGTTACATTTTGATTTTGTGCAAAGTCTGTTCAAAGAAAGAAAGTCTCCTAGCCTCGCAAAAAGTGCTCTGGAATATTTGTTGTGTGATGTGAATGGTATCGTATACTTTTAACTAGATCACAGAGGTAGAAAAGAGAAAAAGAAACCTTCAAGATCACTTTCTTCTTCCACCAATGCCTCAGAGGACATAGTGCAAAATCTGCCTGTTGCTCCACATGCTCACCAGTCCTTCCTCCTCCTTAGAATGAGGCTTGAAAAACATCCCCAGTGGGATACCAGCAGCACTGAACTGTGTCTTTCTAGTTGTTGCTAGTGTTCAGTGCTGTCAGCCTCTAAGACCTTTGCTTGAGGCTGATTTCAAAGTAGAAAACCTTAGCATTCAAATCCCTTTACAACTCCCCGAGTAATGTATTGTTCATAGGTGAAGAGATGCTTTTAGGAAAACCCAAAGAAACGCTAAAGATTAAAACAGGAAAGCAAAGGGAAATCAACACTCTTTGCCTACAGCTGCAGTTCCTGTTAATGAAAACAAGGCTAGGTATATGTTTTGTTACTGACTTTTGTTTCTGTCTTCCTGGCATGATTTTAGCACAGTAATTTGGGTTAAATGAATGCTAACAATGAAACTCAATGAAACTTCTCTTCTTTAACTCCAGATTTTCTTGTTTTGCGTGTGGGCTTTCTTCTGCTTAAAAATAAAAGAGTGCTACTAATAAGTACAATGAAGGCTACAACATATAACTGTTCTTACTGCCTTATGTGAGTGTGATTAAAATCTGTAATCCCAATGTTCTAGATAGCATGTACCTGGTTCACTGACATTTCTCTCTATCTTCACATTAGCATCATGTGATCCAAGTATATTGCTTGTAAGGAGTTACTGGTGGTTTAATTGCAAACTTGGACATACCTATATTTACATGGTGCACTACAATACCAAAGCCGACATAAAATTTCATTTTGTGAGTTATGACACAGACATGCTTAAATCAGATAAGCGTCATTCATAAATGATTGAAGACATAATTGCTTTGCAACGAACCAAGCCACAGCTCACCAGTCGTTCTCATTCATGCAAGCCCTGTAATATTACAAGTAGCCCAGACTAGGAATGAAGTCATTAAAATGGGATTGCAGGAAACCAACAAGCAACATAAAACGACTTTAATAAATGCATGTCTTAGATTCACCCTGCACCTCCTGTTGATTCCCCTGGGATGTGCCACACACCTTCAAAACCCTCGTCTACAGCAGAGGCCAAAAGAGGGTGAGCAGGCAGGGATTAAGGTGGTATAGGAAGGGAACTTCACCATCCGGAGTCACAGCACGGTGGGTGCTCTGCTGCGGGGCACCACAGCACGCGTGGTTACTGATGCCTGATGCCTTCATTTCTGGTGCCTTCAAAATTGTGCGCTTTGCCTTGGCTATGTTGAGCTCATTGCTGAGAGGCAGCTAGAGGAAAGCAGTTTCCAGCTAAGCAGCCAGCAAGAGTTTTGCATTATAAGCAGTCTAACAGACAATTAGAATATGTTACTAGATCTGCACATCACTAATTTCAGTACGTGGAGAGAGCAACAGAACAGTGGCTGCTCAGCTGTAGTCCCATCTCAGGCTCCTTTCCTCCATCCCGGAGGAGCTGTGGAGCCATCCTGGGTGCAGTTATTCTGAGCACTCAATCACATGGTCTCAGAAACATCTTAATAAACTCTGACCAGCAACACAGCCAACAGCTTCGCCTCAAAATAAAACAGCTACTCAGGATCTCAACGCAGCAAGAAAGAGTCTCATCCAGCCGAGAAGACAGGAACTCTGGTACCCAGCAAAAATGTCTGACAAAACCCCCTTCGAAACGGATATGCTGACGCTCACGCGATTCGTTATGGAGAAGGGCCGCCGCGTTAAAGGAGCGACAGGGGAGCTGACACAGCTGCTCAACTCCATGCTGACTGCCATAAAGGCCATTTCCTCCGCAGTCAGAAAGGCAGGCCTTGCCCACATGTGAGTCCTACCTAGCGATACGGGAGGAAGAGGAGGTAGAGAGATAGCTGCTTGCTCAGCAGGGTTGGGGAGTGGGCAGGGATTCCTAAATACATTGGAAGTGTCTTTTTTAAGCCTAGTGATTGAAGGCATGAGTTCAGAGCCCGGATTACCAAGAGTGGGAAGTGGGAGATCTCGCTTTCTGGAGCATTTTAATGTTGGGTGCAAGATAGACATTTAAACTAACTGCTGTTCTGTAATATTTTACTCTAAAAACGCAAGTTAGAACTGCAATGCACTGATCGCCTCATTATCCTTTTTAAGTGCTGATATTAATCAATTTTTAAATCTACTGTGAATTCACAGAATATCACATCGTGATATTTTCTGCTAACATCCAAGCCCAGTGCTGAGCTCTGCAAATCAGGGCTTGGCTTATCTTGGGAAGCTGATGCTCTGCCTGACTGCAGTATAAGTAATGGTCTAAAGCAACAGCCCTGTAAGAAACGCCATAGGCTGCCATGCATAAGTGCATTTCCCCCTCCTTAAATAGTACCAGGGTTACAGGTGAGGAGTCTTAAAAGGCTCTATATGAAAACCAAACATGACAATTTTGCACCCAGTGGTTTAGTAAGTGGAATAAAGAATTGCCTTAGGAAGGCCTGGAACGAACTGAGCAGTTCCTCACAAAGCCAGGTGAAACAGACATCAGTGTCATTCTTTTAATGGTGATCTGTCTGAGGCAGTTTAGAGAGCTGGAACGTCCTAATAAAATTATGCATTTAAAATATTCAGGATTTGTTATGTATTGAAAGGTATATTTCTGCACATGACTCTGTATGTACATATGCATACATGCACAAAAAAGACAGGCAAAATATTTGTGTAAGAAAGGCAACATTTGTAATTTTTTTTTTTTTCCTGTGGAGACACCAAAACGTATGACACACTGCGGTTTTTTTGTGCTTCTCTTGACTATTTGGCCAAAGTCCTCAATGATCTTTTCAAATCACGAATTCAATGTCTCAGTACTATCACCCTCACTTTACAGGCATGGACCATAATACGTAGGGAGGACATGAGACATACTCAACACTAATAGCAGCGTCAGGCTCCTATGCCCTAACTGTTAAACAATACTTTGTCTCTGTACTTAGTAGGTGAAGCTGAGCTTTTTTGCCTCACTGACTTAGAGGAACAGTTGCTTTTATCTCATTTTTTTATCTTTCAATATGTAACCTCTGAAGTATTTAATAGGTGGGGACACCCTCTGATAGACCAGAGGTGGAATAGCCACCTAGCCTACAGGACACATGGCTGCCGTGCTAGATGAATCTTCCCTTCAGAAAGAAAAGATCCATTATGTTGAGGAGCAAATGTCTCTTTCCATAAACAAAAGCTTCAGGTGATGAACCAGAAATACCTAAAGAATCCAAACACACAAACAAGTAACTTACACCATTCAAATCACTGCTACTATCGATGATATTTCAGAAATTCCAATGGCAAACTTTCAACCACTGTGACTGGCTTGCATCCATCTGTATTTGAGAAGTTAGAGAGCTTTGATTTTTCTAGCCCCTTCAAATAGGAGACTGTGAAGTGTCTCCTTTAATGTTAAAAAGCACAGCATGAATCTTTAACAAATTTGCCATTCAAAAGTAAAGCAGGACTTTTCCCAAGCCGTAGGCTTGAGCTGGGAATGTGCCTGAAAACGTGCTAACTGGAGAATGGGGGCTTAGCGCTTCCTGAAAATAATGGTCCTTTCCAGTATCTCAGACTTGGCACTCCAAAACAGAGTGCCCAAAACACTCAATGCTTCTGAAAAGCTCAGGCAGCTTTGAGCCTTGAGTAAGACAAAAGACCTACCCTGCCTCCAACTAAGGCCTGCTGCTGATCAGCATCCTAGGGACTAATTAGTTGCCCCTTTCCTTTTTTTTTTTTTTCCCCCCATAAGGAGTAAAAGTGCTGTATCTATTCCCTGTATGATTCCTTATACTTCTAAGATCATGCCCATTAGCTCTAAACTGTGTTTCCGCAACTGGAAATCTCAGAAATATTTGTACTACTATATTCTACATCATTAGCATATTGCTAAAATCAGGATAGGGAACAGAAGCATCATCTGAACTCAGCCAAGGACCACTGAATAAAACAGACCTTGATCCTGAGATAAAGTTCAGCACGAGGAATTATCTGGGGGTGTGTGTAAAGCTTCTGATTTTGGGGTGGCTGAAGACTGAGTGGATGTGGGTTGAAGGACCATCACGGAGCTCTAAGCAGCCAGCGGCAGAAAATAATGCAGATGCTTAGTGCCCCTTCTCCTTCCTCAAAGCTGCTGCCAGCTGCTTCGTGGGGCTGCTGGGGAAGTCGGGCACCCACTGGCCAGGCTGTGGGCTCTGCTCCTGGCCTGGAGAACACCCAAGCAGGAGCAAAAAGACCCAGATAAAGCCCAGAAATTATGCCATTGCCCTTTCTCTATCTCATGCACACTTTTATTTTCTAGCAGTAGCTAACGCACCTTAGCAGTTTAATCCAAAGGTTTGAGGTGTGGGAAGATGAAAGAGCCACGCTGACTTGTTGTTTTCCTAAAAACCTGTACTGTTGGTCTCCTTCAGGTTTCTTGATATCTTCACTTTTCTGTAGGTTTGGTATAGCTGGCACCGTGAACGTGACCGGTGACGAAGTGAAGAAGTTGGACGTATTATCCAACTCCCTGGTGATTAATATGCTTCAGTCCTCCTACAGCACCTGCGTCCTGGTCACGGAGGAGAACAAGGAGGCCATCATCATCCCCAAGGAGAAGCGGGTCTGTGCATCTCCTGCCTTCCCGGGGTTGTGGGCCCAGGCAGCGGCAGGTGGCACTCTGGTGTCGAGTATGAAACCTGCGCCTGGCCACAAAACCAACCCTTCCCGCGGGAACTCAGAAAATTTGCACCATTACTGCGTTGTTTGGATTAATAACTGTGGTGGATGGCATGGTTTCAACAGCTAAAGGAGCCGTGGAGGGTGGAATTATTATTAAAGTTTTGTGAAGGAGGAGGGGGGAATAATTATTTTTGAGCTTGTTAACACGCCCCAGATCCCAGATGTAAGCGTACTATTACATTCCCTGAACGCCAGTGTAATGGTTTTGGATTACGTTAATATTTAGGCAAGATAAATTGAGATGAGAGGCTGGCAGAACTGGGTTTTACATTACAAGCCCGGAGGAAACACCTGACTGCTTCATCAGGCTTTCCCCAGGAGGGGATCCGATTGCAGCGAGATGCTGCTCACACTGATGTAACCCACCCTTTCCCCAAGATGTGTTCTTTCTGCCTTATTACTCTCAAACGTCACATCACAGGCAGATCTTTTCTTTCGGAGCAAAATGTAACAAAACCATACTTACTGGAGGAAGATGCCCGCTGCTGGAATGAGTCACTCCTTTTGCTTTCAAGCGATTTCTTGCACTGCTTGGCAGCAGAGGACTGCTCCTTTCTATCATCAGGTTTTGTGCTGTCTGAGCAGAAACATGCCCTCTCCTATTTCTCTGGCTGGCCCTGCAGGGAGTGGGTGTTGTGCTGCAGGGCCAGCTGGGTCAACAGCACAGCCTTCTCTGACAAGGCACGTAAGGCACATTTGGAGGGCTGAACACAGTCAAAAAACATGGGTTTTGTCGAGTAAAAGGAAATAATAGTGCAAGATTTTATATCATTTAATGCTTCCCTTGCCACTTCTGTTTTAGGGTAAATATGTGGTGTGCTTTGACCCCCTTGATGGCTCATCCAATATAGACTGCTTGGCACCAATAGGAACAATATTTGCTATCTACAAAAAGGTAAGTGGATGAATGAAGAACACATGGCATGATTCACTTGGCAAAAGCAAAATGCCTTCGGTATATCAACTTGCTTAGTTTCTTTCCTAGGTCCTTTAAGCGTCTTTGGGATCAACAGAGCCTTAGGAAGAGTAGAAGAGGGAACACTTGAGATTCATGTGAGCTAAAATGCTGCCAGAATTCCCAGGAAGGAGACACTCAGCCCCATGAAATTGTTAGGTGGCAGCAATTCCCTCCTCCAGACACACAGGCGCTTAAATAAAATCCTCTCACCATCAGGCAGCTGGTTAGCTCCTACAGTGATGCTTTACTGGCTGCAGGAGAGCTGAGGGGTGTTGCGGTGCCTACAAATCACAGCATTTGTCTTCCTGGGCACTGACTGGGGAGAGCTGACAGTCACTGCCCGGACGGTATCACGATTAGCAGTGTGGTGGCCTCCCAGTATGAGTTGCTGTGCCAGTTATGGATGAGAGCTTATAAGCATGCTAACGATGGAGGCGACCTGAGGCTGAAGGAAGCAGACACCTCCATCCACCGAGACCCTGCCAGGGTGCCTGCTCCCATGAGGCTGCACAGAACAGCAACTGCATGGCCAATTAACAAATGTTAATAGTTAAGAGTCATGCCAAGTCTTGTGATTTGATTGCTAATCTCCCAGCAGTTGGTGTTTTTCCTGAAGCCTGAGCTCACAGTCATATGACTATGGGAGACCCTCAGCCATTGCTATTGTGAAGTAAAATTTACAGTACTTGTGACTGCAGAGAAGTCTTTGCAGACTCAAACACTGCGCTTCAAACATACGATGATGCATTTTTAAAGTCCACTCGCATCTCTTAACTCACAATTTTCAACTGGCTAATCCTCATTTTTTGCTTTTCTCGTAGGCAATACACTAATCATCATTGTTGAGAATGTGCACCTACTAGTAAACAAAACAGTTATGGCACAATCCCAACAGGGTCATGGTACAAGCCAAGTGCTGGCATATGGCTGTCCACACTGTTAATGGTTAGTGCAAACCTGCATCACAGATGTGCAGCCCAGGCCAGACAACACTGAGATGATGCTTGGGTATGGCTTGTAGAAAGAGCAGCCCAGGGATTACCTCCAATGCCATCTACCGCCTTGCTTTCTGGAGGGGAGAAAGCTTAGCTGTATGGATGCAATCCATGCCACGTACCCTTACGGTAAGCAGAGGGGCTCCCACTCTTTTCATTTATCTCTCTAAAGATAGCCTAAAAGACTGCAGCACCTCCAGACATTTAGAGTGGACAATAGCTGTGTTGTCCACTATTCTCAATGGTGGTAAGCACCATCTTACAAACGCCAAACATCAGCTTTCTCTTTAGAAATTTTGTGTTAGGTTACTCTGCGTAACTATAAAGGCAAGTGCTCAGTGATTAATATAGCTTAGCAGGTTGAAAACAGATTAGATTTCTCTACCATCTTTAACGCACCTGTTAATGTGTGTAACGACTATGGACTTCCCAGTCTTCTCTAGGATTCTGCTTCAGAATAGAAACATTTCTCAAAGAACTCATGTCATTCCCAAATGCTCAAGTTTTCAATTCATTTTCTGCTACTTCCATAGTTGTTGTTGTTCTAATATATATTAACGTATTTGTTGTAAATACTGTTTTTAAGTTACTGGTTTTCATGTGGGTGGATACCCTTCAGCAATTCATAAAAAGAAAATCACATTGCTTTGTACAAATGCTTCATATCCAAATTAAAACCCTGCTGCTAGGATGAAGCACAGTTTGTCAACTACAAGAACAACTTACCAATTTTCTCTGCAAATTTAGAAACAGTGTTGAATTTACACACTTTCACTGGCATAATTCTTTCCATTAAAATGCTAATTCCAAAGTACATGTTAATTAATGTGTCTTCCTCTCAGACAAGACAATTTCATAGCAATGCTATTAACTTTAAACACTGATAAATTCAAATACTTTGAAATAATAGATTATAATAAAAGCTTTGTTGATTGTTACTGAAGAATAATGAGAAAGGAATAAAAGTGAGATGTTTATCCCAGTGGATGAGAATCATTTAAGAAAGAAAACGTGATTTCAAGCCATTTAAGGTTCATGAACATCATTTTGGAAAAGCTAGAACAATTGTAATTCCAAAGGATGATCCTTTGCACCTGTCTGATATTTGGTACTTTCTAATTCTCAGATGATTGCATGACTGATTTTCTCACCGTGTCAGCACTTGAAATTCATTGGCAAAGGTACACCCTCCCAAACTGAAATATTTGCCTCATTTTAGGGGAAAAAAAAAAAAAAATCAGCTCTTTTCTACAAAGGCCAGACTTGGCCAATACATTTCAAACCTGAAAATAGTTCTCTGGCTGCTCCCAATCCAGAGCCACTACCATGGTGGCAGGCACCACTGCCTCCTGCCAGAAAATCACTGCATCAGTGTCTTAGAGAAAACCACCGGGAAGTAAATGCCATCTTAAGTTTATTTAATTTTCCACCTGGCTTTTACTTTCTGATGCATGGGTGGTATTGTTAAAAAGAACAGAAACATCAGAAAAGTGGGGCTGAGGGAGGAGCCTTGCTGAATCAGCAGAAGCCGGAGCAAGGGACAGGACCTTGACAGTCACTGCCACTGAGGGGCTCTCAGCTGCTGGAGTCTCAGGACGTGCTGACAGTAAGCATTTTTTGCTCGGATTCTTCCCAGTTTTTCATGACACTGAGCTGAATCTCCAACTCTTGATTCATGCTGCACATATATGCTATGAAACTCTGCTGCTTTGTTTCATTCTGGTTTTAATTTGTAACTTTGCCCAATGCCTCAGATGCATTTTATTTCCCCTTCTTCATTGTCATGAGGACATTGTCCTTCCCTCCATGTGGTCCCTCATGGAGAAGGTGTAAGAATTCAGAGCAATCACAAAGGATACTCATGAAACACATGATACAAACAGAGACCTGGAAACCAAGTCGTTCTGGATCTGCTCCCAGTGCTGATGAGAACTCACTCATGTGATGTTAGGCAGATCATACATGCAAAAATTTTCAAACTCAGATATCACTTGAGGGTACCCCTATAGCCATACTCCACAGACGTTGTTTCATCTGCTTCACACCAAAAACAAACCAAAGTGACTGTGTCAACACTTGCCAGAGCTTCTCTGCAGTCCCTCTGCCTATTTCAGTGCTTTGCATAAAGACCTTTAAAGAGATCTCACTGCAATCATCTCATAGTCAAAATATAGCAGAAAGGAAATACATCTGTGCACCAGAAAGTGAAAATATCAGAGTTTACCAGCCAGCTTAATTCCCTGGTTTGTTTCACAGAACATGGTACTTGGCAGCACTAAACTCCTGCAGTCCTAACGATGAAATATCAGCTGATCTCTAGCTTTTTTACATTCTGACAAGCTCTGCGAAATGTTTGTTTGAGACTGAGCTTTTTTCCTTCCTTTTGGAAGCTGGCTCTTGGAAACACAGTTGTGAATAAGGATGGAAAAACAAGTGAATTCTGCCGAACTGTTCATCTCCTGAGGGAGGAGTTCCTCTGTTCTTTCAGAATAGTTAACAAATATGTGGTTTCTCAGCCATATAAACATAGAAAATGCATTTAAGAGATAGGACTGAAAAGCGCATCTCAGAAAAACATGTTTTAAATCAATATCATATGTAACCAGCAGCTACATATACTGTATATACACCATATTCTATAAAACAAACCTCTTTACTGTAGTTATACAAAATTAATTCTTATTTAATGAGGAAAGCATACAAAAAGCTAGGAGAATCATATGTTTGCAATTAGTTACATAAATATATGTTTAATTCTGCATTTAATGTTGCAAATAATTAGCCTACTATAGACAACCGTTGCTTTGGATGTTGAGATGTGTGCACCATGGGGCTATATTTTTGAAACAGAAGCAGCTATGTAGGGTAGAATAGTTGGTTCTGTAAAAGATGGTTTAGCAAAAGATTAGCCACTAATAGTCAGAATTCAAAGCTCTGGAATATACAAACAGGGGTTTTAACTAGTCTTCCTTTATTATGTGCATTAGAACCTCTCTCAAAAAGCAGCTTGACAGTAATTCCAAGGGCTTGCATACCAGCTGTATTTGTACATACTGTATTTCAGCCCCCATGAAGAGCTGGCTGGCAACTGGACTTTTTTCCACAGAAGAACTTGGGGGAAAAAAAAAAAAAAAAGTTTTGAGCAAAATACAGCTAAAAACTGTAAGCAAAAGTAACAAAAGTAACAAAAGTAACAAAATGTTTCAGCTGCAAATGAAAACATTTTGATGTGGAATTACAGTCTTCATATGCCAAGAAAGATGTAGTTGTGGTGTCCCACATCTCAGTTTTCCTCTAGATGTTGGCATACAATGATGAACGGGATCCCCAGGTTACCCTTAGCCTTCCACCTTGCTAGGACTCTGATGGGCACCCTGAGAGCTCCTAGCCATAGGACACACCAGAGAATACAGAGAATTCCTTTGTTTGTTGGAAAGCAAGTGTTTTCCTTTAGAAAATATCTGTGGAAGGCATTCTTGATTTTTTAAAGAATTTACTCAATATTCATCAAATACTTGATTTCCTACAGTCTCCACTGATTTTTATTTTTTTAACCAGGTATTTTGGGCTAGACCTGCTATTTCTATTTAGCTGCTACTCATTCTAATGAAGCCCATGCAATCATCGAGAAATTGTCTGAGTTTGGAACAATAAAATGCCAAACCAAAGCCTGAAGGAAGGATCTGAGAGGGTTCTCATTGTAATTCCTCATGAACCACCACCAAAACATCTACAGAAGACCCACCACAACTGACAAGCTTCTAAAGAAACATTAATGTCAAGCATTAAAATTTGTAGCCCCAGGAGATGAAGGCTGGAGCCAGCCTTCCCAAGTACTCTTGGCTGTTCTCCTTTCTTACCCCACCCCAGTCGAACTCTTGCAAGCCGTGGCTGAGGCACACCCCCAGAGCTGGCTGGAAATATTTGCACCAGGTCTGCTTGGGCTATTGTTGATCAGCGATAACCAAAGGGCTAAATCAAAATATGAGTGTCGGAAATTGATTAAAAGCCTGAAATAAAACGCCACGTGAATGTTCTATGTAGAGTTGTATGTGCATACTCGCACACACACACACATTATGTATGCAAATGCATTTGTTATTTTATATGCAATATCAACATTTATATCATTTCAGTTATCAATCTCTTCACTGGCAGAGACCAATGCACAATCTTGTTTCCATTGTGTTGGACCATCTACCCTTTTAATCTGCATTACTGGAAGCAATTTGTCTGTAATGTAAACTACTGCATTCACCTCACAGTTATTCGCTCTGAGGGGTGTCAGTATGATAGCTTACATTTACATTTACAGAAAATTAGTACCTCTGTTCTGTCTCAGATTTCTGATGATCTTGAATCAATAGACTGGGCTGTAATGCTAAGGTATCAGCTTTGTTGCAGGTATCATATTGTTTGCATGACATGTATAAAATAACAAACTCTCAATGTCCTGTCCCAGCCTGTGCATGTACTTGTACGTAACTTGCCCTGAACTAGTGGGAAAAATCTCTATTTTGGTTGTTTCAAAAGTCTGTGAAGACACAGAAAGGAAATCTGTCCCACATTATTATTGAAGTGTTGTGTTTACGGTTTCTCATATGAATTTAACCTTCAGTTCAATGGTAATTTTTCCACAGGAAACAGATGACGAGCCCTCTGAAAAAGATGCTTTGCAGCCCGGACGCAATATTGTTGCTGCAGGCTATGCCTTGTACGGCAGCGCTACACTGGTTGCCCTCTCCACAGGGCAAGGAGTGGACTGCTTCATGCTCGATCCGGTACAGTCATGGTGTTATTCACACTGCCAAGATCAATTAGAGCTTTCCATGCTTGGGTTTATTAATTTTTGTTACTCCTTGTCTTTGCAAGCTACGTGACTTGGTTTTTGACTCACATCCTGGAGCATCCCACCTCCACTTTGCAAATATTTAATAATATCTGAATATGTTGGTTGCAATACCTCTTTGGTTTTTTTTTTTTTTTTCTACTTAGTGAAAGAGAGTTTAAGTTAAATAGAATTTGAAAGCCTGTTCATTCAAATCAGACTGCTGGTTTGCACAAACACTTCAGAAAATTTACTCTGAATGGTGTCTTTGCCTCCACTTAAAGGACTCCTGCTTTTTTCTTGTTCTTGCTTTTTCTCTGTGTAGAAGAACCTCAGCACGTTCAGTGTTTAGCATGGAGCAAGGACCATTTTTTGATACAGTTCATTCAGAGTGATGTCTGATTTCCTGAGTGCAATTTAGTTTTATGGCTAAATCCTCTAAGCCACATACTCAACAATTTGCAAAGGCACAACCATACCCATACAATCGGACATGTGCCACCTCTCTGTGCCCAGCCCCAGAGCCCAACAAATGTTACTGGAGGAATGCAGGAAGAAGACCACTCATCTGAGAACCAGCATTAGATGCGGGCAATAACAGGAATTTTTTTAGAGAAAAGGATGCATTATTATCAAAATTCCTTCTAACCTTTACAAATAGGCTCATTCCAAGTGGGAGGAACCGGGAGCTGAACTGCTCTGGTTAGACACAGAGGAAGAGAAGGTGGAAGTTGCACCTGGACTGCAGACAGCAACACCTGGGGCTCGCTGACCACATTAATTTCAAGATACTTAAGAGAGGCAAGAAGAGTTCAAAAATCAGAAGGCAGTGTAATTTCGTAATTTGTAACCTTATGGTTTGTGGACAGAGACTCACGATCCACCTACTTTCAGAACTGACTGGTGTTCTTTTGATATGCTAACTGTTACAGTTGAATTGCCTTTTGTTTATAGCACCAACGTGACAAGTTTTCATGAACTTAACACAGATTCTGTGTTTTCTGCTCTGTTTGAAATACTGTGAAGTTATACACAAGACTGGTGCTGAAAGTACAAAGCTGTGCTAGCATTTCTGCCACCTCTAGTGTGACAACTTTTACAGAAAGTCAACAAAATTTTCTGCTGCTTGCTAATAGCTGGTCTATCCTGTTCTTCTGCAGGGTCTTGGTGAATTTATTTTGGTGGACAGAGATGTTAAAATCAAGAAGAAAGGGAAGATATACAGTCTCAATGAAGGTTATGCAAAGTATTTTGATCCTGCAATGACAGAATATTTACAAAAGAAGAAATTCCCTGAGGTAAGAAAACATTAGCACTGTACCCAATGTACTGTGCCCTGGCACGCACTGCATTCCACGCAGTCCTGGCTGATGGGAAAGGATCTGGAGGCCTTGCTGAGTTCAGCCCCATGTAACCCTTTCGTGCCATCAGGTCCATTCTGGGTATGTAGCTTGTATTTTTTTCTGGTGCCCTGACATCTTTTATAGCTTAGACTTCAGTAAGTAAATTCTTAGCTTCTTCATCAGTGTGTGGAGGAAAATGTGCTGTACATGAAGAACCAGGTTTTTCAACAAAACTGTGAAACTGTACCAGCCAAATGTGGTGGTACCCTTGTTTTCTAGCTTATCTGACTATGCAGTTCAGTCATATATGTGGTTGGGCATAGATTCCACTGGGAATTCCCCATCTAGCTGGGGCTAGATTCCACGTACTGCCTAGAAGGTGCTGGCAGGGATCTGGGTGGCATCTTCTTCTTCCTGTACATGCTTGCATCTGAGAAATGCAGTATCATTCTTGCACTGTCTACTTGCATCACACGGAACACGAACAAACCCATGAGTTGAAAAAAAAAACAACTGTTGTAAGGCACAATTTCACTATTTTCTTTCGTTAAGAGGATTATACTGTATGCCTCAGAGAGCTAAAGCTGAGAACATCCCATGTCTGATGAACTTCCTCATGGGGACATACAGCTCTGTATGGCCTCTAGTCGATGCAAGGAGGACGCAGCACAAACTCTCAATGCGGAAAGCTGGAAGCTCTCTAGAAAGTGTGGCTACATGTGATCAGTAAGTTGTAACAAAATATGGTGATACGGAACAGCTCCTGACTGAATCTGGCCAGAAAACTGGTTTTAATGCCCTTGCTGTTAAAAAAAAGGCCATAGGATTATTTTTTAAGCTATTTTTTAAGCTATCAGTTGTCAATGGTACTTATACAAGGATCATGTAAAAATCAATGTATCCAGTAGAAAACTTTATGGTGCTGTACAAGGGAAATGTAATGAGTAAGAGTTTAAACCACAGTTCTGTGAGAAGCTCCTTCTGAGCTGAAAATCTGAATTTACTACTTTGGATATAGCTGCAATGCTGACCTCTTATCAAAACCTCTTCTCCATATTACCCATATTGTAGCTACAGAGGGTGTCGCATCACAGCATTTTAAATACACTAATTTTGAATATTTGAGGTTGTTTTGAAACTTCAAAGTCTGCTTTCAGTTCAGCTGTGAGAGAAGCAGAAGCCCAGGACACAACTTTCATACTTCCTGAAAACTAATCCAGCTGGGAAAGGGGAGAGCTGCGCCTCTCATCCTGCTCACGTTATGCTGAACTGTGTATTCAGTATAATGCACTAAGACTGGATTTATTCATTTGTGCTTTTGCAAACTACCCAAGCGTTGTTTAAAGTAAAACTCTTAAGTAGTCAACCCCAGGCAACTATAAAAAGACTGAAGAGATTCCAAACTCAGTGGAATGACCAGACAGAGATATTTCACCACAGGGTCAGTGAGGACAGCTCTCTAATGTGATTCACTAAATCCTTAGGTTAGGACATACAGGAAAAACCTCATCTGCAAAAACTATTTTATCTCAAATCTGTGCTTCATTTGAGGAAAATCTATTGAAAGTGGTGTTGCACTAATGCAGCAGAAGTTGGCAGAAGGTGTTTTTGTTACTTTAAAGCAAGCAGCACAGTAGTGCATGGGTTATTTTGGGCAGGGGAAGCTTCCCTAAGGGTGCTGAGCAAGCACATCACTTTGGTGCTCTGAGACGTAGGGCTGTCTGTGGGAAAAGGGCCAAGGCACCAATGTTATGGTCACAAAGCACAAGCAAGTGCCCTGCCCATATGAAAGCTTGTTATGAACCTGAGTTTTGCAAAGAGCATAACTCCATTCCTTGATTTAAAAAGGACATTATATTTGCGTTGTGGGAGGACAAGAGAGAGAGAAGGTGTTGTCACTCTTCCATAGCATGAAACCTGCTTCCTGGCATCATCTGTAAGCCTTAACAGCTACAGCTACATTGATGATGCTCCTACCTTCCCTGCAGTGTTCAGGAGGAGCATTGCACAGCTTTGGTCTTTGTCTTCCTCTCTTCAGCACACAGAAGGGCAGTGGGGGTTATCTGCCAGATACCTCCTGCCTGTGACTTGAGTAGGAACTGACATGTGGGGCGTGGGGGACCCCTTCTTACTCGGGTGGAACATGCTCATCCTATGGTCTTCTGGCCATTAGAAGCCAAGAGACTAGGCATTAATTTCAGCTACTTGTTACCTTCTTTTCCCTGTTTTTACTTTGATCCTGCCTTTATTTCCTCCTTCCTGTGGTTCTTGGTCGATGTGCTGTTCAGATGACTCTCTAAGATTGCCACAGAAAACTGAAAAGTTAAAAATAAAACAGGCAAACAAAGTAGGATGTTGTCCATAACATGTCCCGTGTTCTGTATCACTGTCATCGGCAACCAAACATTACAAATCAACGGCTTACGTGGAGATAAGAGATTTTCCCTTACTATCTAATAACAGCATCCCAGGCCAGACAGTTTCGACTACAAAGCCACATTGACCCTCAAAATTTCTTGTGGACCACCATTCACCTAAGTCATTAATTCTGAATTAAAAGCACTGGAAAGTGCTGCTGTTCTGCAGGTCAGCTGTAAACCTCCTACCATTATCATGTGGATCTTAGTGGGAAATAGTTGTCTAGACACATCTCTTCTGAAACGAGAGTCCAGAGAAAAGCTAGTTTTTTGTTAAGCATTATAAAATCTCCTGCTGCTTAACCTGCTTGAAGAGCAAGCTGCTGTTTGCAAGGCTGCCTGTAATGCAGGATGTTTACTCCAATCTGCACTGTATAATGGGCACAGCCGGGCCAGAAATTCTCTCTGCATAAATTTCACTTAACTCCTTCCCAAAGTGGGTTCTTCCTCCAGTAATGCTCGCAGGGCCCTAGCCTCTAGCTGGCACTGGTTCTCTGGTGGTAGAACGCAAAAACATGCTGTGGACATCATTGTACTTTGCTATTCCACCCATTTTTATCTTCCCTTCCTACAGCCACAAGAGAAATTGAGTCTCATCACAGTTTGCTGATTGAGAGCCACACAATAGAGACTCCCTAGTTAAGGATTTGTCTTAGCAATGCCATCAAAAACTTAGCATCAGCAGCACATTTCAGCATGAAGCATTCTTCTGCCAGCCAGACCAGCTGTGCCCAAGTGATATAAAAAGCTAATAAAAACAGTGTGCTTTTGTCACCATAACTGTATGTGGAGCAAGGCATGCAGAATATTGCTGCTGTAGTCTATAGAAAATATTTTTGCCCCCCACTCTCCTAGTCATCATCCTTACGCAAGAAAAACATAGTCTTGTTCTGCTGTGGAGGACCATAGATGTCAGAAATCAGTAGAATAAATAAGTGAAAAAGTGACTTACATCACATTGTGAAGAAAAAAATCACAGGACCTATCTGTTACGAGCCATTTTTGTTCCTCTGGGTTAAGCAAAACAAAACAGCGGAAAAGGTGAAACTAAGAGCAATCACAAGTTTACTCAAACGTGATGGACGCTGACCAAGGGAACATCAAGGTTCTCCAATGCTTTCATTAGCACCAGTCGAACCAGTGCATAGTGATCACTGGGCAAACATACAGCTTGGCATTACTCAGAACTTGGGATGAACCTCCCTACCATTCTCTGCTATTTTGTGTGAGAAGAAAGCCTGGACAATATGCCAACATGCGTGCAACACCTGTTAACTTTCTCATCTATAAGAAAGACGCACGAGTGACCAAACTGGAGAAACAAGAAGTAATATTTCTAGTAACTAAAAGGACTATTTATTCCTTCCATGTAGGTAGTTGAACGCTAAGGGAAGTGAAAATTTTATTTCAGTCTGTGGTTCAAGTGATAACCATACCAGAATGAAGGAATTTCTATTCTGTATTTTTCTCAGCAATGTCTCAGCTCTGTATTTCTAGAAAGTGAATTTCTATCAGGGTAAGAAGCAACTAAAATTGTCAGTGGCATCTCATCAGCTTCACATAACACTGCCCCTGTACACTCAAATTGTGTAAATGGCCTGCACGTGAATAGGAAATCCAGCACATCCCAAACATATCTGAAGACTTGTACACAGGTGACTCAGCTGTACAGCTCATGGTCAGTAAATTTTACACATGTGGGTTGCAGACTCCTTATTTGATAATGTCATAGAAGCAGTCCTTAGCAGTCTGTTTCAGGGCCTGCTTATGGTCGATACACTGTGACTTTTCTTAATGTTTAACAAACTTTTCTTAGGACTTGCTTCATCACCTTCTGAAACCATAAAAAAGAGGTCTTGCTTTGATTGTATTTTTAAAGGTTATTTTAGACTGCAATCACATCTTTCCCTGAAAATTGTCTTGTCTTAAACTGCAAACTTGCTTTAGTATCTCTTTAACACCTCCTAAGGTATTTTCTTCTGACCTCAGATTTTTACAGTTGCAAAGTCACAAGTGCGAACAGGTGTGAGATGGAGAAGCTATGATTTGAAGTCTAAATATCTAATTATCTGAGGGTAATCCGTGAAAAATAAGGGATCAAATACTTAAAAGTATTGTTCAGTTGTGCCTGGAAGTAATAGGGCCAGGTTTAAACTAAATTAAATACAGAAGCTCCAGGCTGTGTCTTTTCCATCATGTCTTTCATACTGTGTATTGTTTTCCTCTGAATTTTCAATAGTTCTCCTAATATGTACAAGAATTGTGGAAAACAGCACAAGTACAGTAATAACAAGAGTTATTACCTAGGCTGGAACGGTTCTCTCTTCCAGTTTTACTGCCAGATGTATCAAATATCCAAGCTTTATATTTAGCGGCTTAGGACTCAACTTCCTAGTGTTCTATTGCATTGTAGCATGTCATTTCATTAGAATCTCTTCTGATTTTAAAAGAGAGTAAATAACAAAACTTCACGGTTGCACAGAAAAAAGTGATTTCAAAATAGACTGATGTTTTTCTCTATCTGTGTTTTTTCCTCTCACTTGTGTTTTTTTTTTTCTCACAGCTAACCTCATGATTTTGCGGGGAAGGGTGACTAACTTGTGATGTCTGAAGGTTTTGGAGCTGGCATTGCTGAACCAGTTCTCTACATTAAAAGCCTTATGAGGAGTGGCTGAGGGAGCTGGAGTTGTTTAGTCTGGAGAAGAGGAGGCTGAGGGGAGACCTGATCGCCCTCTACCACTACCTGAAAGGAGGTTGTAGCGAGGTGGGGATTGGGCTCTTCTCCCCGGTAATTAGCGATAGGACGAGAGGAAACAGTCTCAAGTTGTGCCAGGGGAGGTTCAGGCTCGACATTAGGAAGAACTTCTTCACTGTTAGAGTTGTTAGGCATTGGAACAGGCTCCCCAGGGAGGTGGTGGAGTCACCATCCCTGGAGGTGTTCAAAAAACGTTTAGATGTGGCACTTCAAGACATGGTTTAGTGGACAGGGTGGCATCAGGTATACAGTTGGACTTGATGATCTTTGAGGTCTCTTCCAACCATAATGATTCTATGATTCTATATTTCTCTGGATCTAGTATCAGCACAAGGAGAGCTTTGTACAAAGCACTAAGATCTTCTGTTAGACAACTGATCCAGACAGGAGAAACATGCAGAGGTCTTTTCAAACTTTTAGCATTGCAATACACAAATATATATGCATATTAAATGTGCATGAAGTCACAGTCTCTAATAATTTTCTGGGGATGTCCAAATTCCTCCTCTGCTTCATTGAAGACAGACTGAGACATATCAAAAGACCAACAGACTTCTTGGCACAGTAGTTTCCAAAAAGCTTTCTTTCAGTTTACATTTGTATTGTGTATCTTCTCTTCATAAAAGTATGGTGACACGTCGCTTTTCTTGGGTGGATGCTATTTGGTGTATGAAGCTTCTATTTGTGCAAGACACCTTGCTTGCCTTCTGTGTTTCCTACTTTACATTTTTTATGACCAGCAAACCTAAGACTGATACAAAAACTTCCCTGATTGCTGTCACTAAAATGACATCTCCTTCAACAACATTAATTTTTAAGCTGAGAGCAAGGAAAACTATATCCATGAATAAATTGCTATCTCCCAAACCAAGCTGCAGAATGAACACAATAACCAATTTCACAACTGGACAAATAAGCTAGAACAAAAAGCTGGAGTCCTCTGGGAACCATCTGAATGTGTAGTGAAAAGTGACAACCCTCCTCATGCCCTGACTTAGGAACCAGTGAAGGATCGTCAATCGAATGGGTACCTTGTTCTGGCAACGTGAAGAAGTTTTCGCTCACTGTTTGCAGCCCTTGCTTTTTCACAGGCTGGGTGTTGATGTCAAATTGTGCACTCAAATTACAGGCACCCTGGTTTCCATACTGTGAATGCAGCTCTTCAAAGGGCTTATTTTAGAACCCTGTAGACAACCCAAAAGGCTAAGCCTCAGGCTGATTTAGGCATTTACAGTGTCCATAAGCAGCCATTGATTTAAGCAGTTTTGATTCCTGTTTTGTAACAAAATTACATTTTGCCAAGCTACTAGCTGTCTAGCCTGGTAGATATAATGCTTTACTCTGTATTTTTCAGGATGGCAGTTCCCCATATGGTGCCAGATACGTGGGCTCCATGGTAGCTGATGTTCACCGTACATTGATGTACGGTGGGATCTTCATGTATCCTGCTAATCAGAAGAGTCCTAAAGGAAAGGTAAATTGTTTGACTTACTCTCTGTTGAACTTAGTCAACCTAAGACCTCTCATTCTCCCAGAGATGTAAAGGAATAGTTTAGATATATAAACAGACAATAATTTTCCACCCCTGGAGAAAATTATCCATGTGTGTAATGGCCAGCAATTGAATTTAGGCAAGAAATGTAGGCAATTACCAATTTAGGCCAGAAATCTTCCTGTGTGCTTTTCTATTACAAACTACTCAAAAGGTTTTCACTGCAACCGAGGGTTTTATTCATTTTTCTAAAGACAAACACTTCAGTACCATAGAAACCTATTGAGATATCTATGCATAGCTGGCAGATACACCACAGGCCTAAGAAGACTTCTGCACTTTATACTGGCAACTAGAATCCAAGTGGGATACCCTGAACTCCAGACAGGGTTTTATTCAATGTTAGACAACCAAGTTTGCCTACCTGATGTTTCCAAAGGGTGCTGAGCTTACTATCACCAGCCCTGCAAACACAAACTTCTACTAACTGATCTGAAAAACTCTGTCAGTGGAAGGTGAGTTTCATGCATGCTGAGATTCTGGGAAAAGATGATTTCCCATACGGACACCTATATAAAACATACTGTGACTTAATGCAATGCAATGCAATGCAGTGACTCCCTGAATCTGCTGGGCCATGGACCATAGTCAACCTCAACTTTTCTCCTGCAGCATCAGATACCCTTGTTATCAAATATCTAAACAAATATATGTTTAAAAGAGATCTGGTTATACAGCTGATCTGTGTGCCACCAGTAACCTGCAGGTCATCCTTAGGACATGATTGGCTCAATGCATAATAGATTGATCACGGTGTTCTGACTCTAAGACCACCTGCTTCCCTTGTTAACACCATACTAAAAACCTTCTATTCAAATGGTTTTGTATCCTTGGCTGGTATGTGCAGGAATCTGCCTTCATAAAATTACTTGCCCCATCTCCCACATTGGTATTAGAACATCCTGATGTCTACAGTTCTTTAGGGACAGAGGACCACTGGCTCCATCTTGGTGAGCATGTATTTATCATAATAACAGCAGATGCAAGTGGTCTGCAAAACAAGAACAGGAAAAGAACTCTTTTCAGGATACACAACAGAAAATGTATGCTTGTTTGTTCAGGCAGATTTGATTTAAATATTTGATATAGCATCCCATAAAAACAAACAAACAAACAAACCCACAAAAACAAAACCAACAACCAAAAAAACCCCATTACACAGTGTGGATCTGTTTGTGTATCACAGCAAGAGACAAAAAAGGAATTTGCTGTGTGTGAGAGAAGTGGGTTTGCTGACTGGCCTCTTCAAATTAAACTTTTTGTTTTGAAATCTGTGTTAAACCATTGTTGAAGAGAAAAGATGAGAAACAGGACAAAAGAACAAATGTACAAAGTACTTACATAATTTTATAGAAATCGGGATTTCTGCATGAGTCAGCCTGCATTGACTATTGGACTGATTTGGCTTGCACTGCCATAGTAGAGAGAGTAATGACAGAAGCAAAAGTGTACTACCATCACAAATAAAAGTTTTCTTCTTTCCTTCCCAGAATGCAGGTGTATACAGTTCTTTTCACATAAACCTCTTTTTGAAGAGATAATGCCTTTGTGGCAGGTGCCCTGATTATCATCCCCCTGAAAGATAGTTTATGCACTAAATAGAAAGCTGAGAGGAACCAAATGTCACTGGAATTGATCCAAAAGCTTTAGAGCATATGTAAATGACATGCACGTAGGCCCTGGCATATAGGGCTCCTCCTTTAAGTTAAAGAACGAGTGAGAACAAAATGCTTAATAAGCAGAGCAGAACCAGCCAACAAATAGATCCTTTTTTTCAAATCAGATATGTTAAATAATACTTTTATGAACTTAAGGCTTATAGTTCTCTATTAGGTGAAAAATATTCAACCTATCTGAAGACAGAGCCCATGTAAAGACCCCTAAGTGCAATTGCACTACTACCTGAAGGAAAACTGCCTTCCTTAAGCCATGTGGTCACAGTTAAGCAACAAGAAACTCAACACGTAGTTCCACTGTAGTACTACTTCTGTTTTCTGGCTCATGATCTTCCAAAAGTTGGCCATGCTCTAAAAAAACAATGAAGGCTATTGGTCCTATGCTCCCTGTCAGATGGAGTCCTTGTACCAGAAGTAGCACTTCAGCAGGCTTTAAAGATTACAATGAAGTTAATAGGTGCTATTTAAGTTTGTGGTATATCATGGTTTTATTATAAACAGCATAATAAACGAATGATCAGTAGTAAAGTCCTGTGTCCAACCCATTTCTTTGTTTCTCTATATGGTTCATTCTGTCATGCTTCTTTTTCCCCAGAAAACATTCTCCCTTTTGCACATATGAAAAGCTCTTTAAACATAGTATGTGCTAACTTTGTTGTACATGAGCACGTCATAGACCGTCAAAGATTCAGCTAAACCTACAGAAATAATGTCTGTTTAAAAATAACCAGCTATCATCTATGTCCCTTTAAACACAGAAACTTTTGGCATATGTCCCAAATAAGTTTGCATTCCACCAGAACACAGGCACCATAGAAGTAACATTTTAAAAGATATGAATAGATATCAGGGTTCAAACCAAAAGTGCCTCCATATCAAAAGGGAAAATTTGCTTTTAATAATTACTGTAATTACTTCTGAAAACAGAGTCACTATCTGGATGAGTTGAGACCACTAATACCTATTCACATTTCTGAAGAGTGGCAATCAAATCCTGAAATTTGAAACTGGGAGCATCAAGTTTCAAACTCAAAAATATCCTGACCAAACACAACACGATTACCCCAAGCTTTGAGGTAACACATAAAGACTGTATATGAGAAGAGATTTTGGCTTTTCTTTCCCGGTACTAGTAACTTAGCTGGTTTACCTGTTTTGCTGATGTCTGTGGGCCCGACAGCTACTTTTGACATTTCTGACAAAATACAGCTCCACTGGTGCTCCACATCAGTATGTTAGCTTGGATACAATGGTGGTGATGCTTGGATGCAGGGTCAGTATGGTCTTCCTTGAAACAGAAGGTGTTAAGGGAGGTTAGAGAAGGAGAGGGGAGAAGGAGGGGCTGATTGATCGAGAGACATTGCTATTGCTATTGACATGATGTCTAATTGATGTTTGGTGCAAAATTTTCTAAAATCACAAAAGGAAAGTTAAGTTCTGGCAAGTCCTTTGGTGTAATTTCCCCCAAAGGTATTCACATGTTCCCTCTTTCTTTCTAGCTCCGACTTCTCTACGAGTGCAACCCTATGGCTTTCATCATCGAGCAGGCAGGTGGGGTGGCGACTACAGGGACGGAGGCGGTGTTGGATGTGAAACCTGAGAGTATTCACCAGAGAGTCCCTCTTATCCTTGGTTCTCCAGACGACGTGCAAGAATACCTCGCTTGTGTACAGAAACACCAGAAGAGCAGCTAAAGGCTTTTCTGCATCAGACCTTGCTTATCTGTCTTCTGTCTACATGAAAAGCCATACCTTTCAAGATGGTGGATTCTAGTAATTAGCACCCATCTCTCAGTGAAAATCCCATTTTATGAGAACAAGAAAAATAGTGAGAATGGCTGATGGGAAAACCAAAAATGTCATTTCTCCTTGCAGACAAATGTAAAAATCCTTTAACTCTGATTTATGCAGTGCAAATGTAGAGACAGAGGCCTGATTATTAAACAGAAGTGACTTACTTTATTTAATACTAGCAAAAGGAAGTGGATCGTGTCAGTAGCCCCATTTGATCCAAAGCTTTACATCTGATATTACATAGTTGTATTGTCTGAGACAGGTTTTCACATAAACATTCGCAATGCCGTTATCTGGATTTTCTGTCACAGGTTTTGTTGCAGGTGCTTTTTATCTTGACAGCCCTGAGAAGACTAAAAGTCTCATGCTGTCTGAAGCAGTGTTTTTAAGCTCCAAATTATATACGTCTTGGGTAATTAATAAAGATGAAAAGGCTGCAATGTTGCCAGGGTATTTCAATTCTCGTAAGAACAAGAAAATGTCTTGTCTTATTTGCAGACAGGTAAGCTCCAATGGCACAGATTACAATAAACCATTGCTACGGATGTGACAGTGATATCATGCCTATTCCCTGTTTATCTGTTGTCCTTTGCAACAGAAGATGAGCTATTGGCACTAAGCCCCTGTTAAACCTCCATCTTCTCTTACTTGGAAAGGTTCTTATTTCAGACTGAAGCTTGCCCTTTCATACACCTTACACTGCCGTTCCCAGCCACCTCCTGCACATCCATCCTCTTGCTGCCCTAGTGCCACCTCTCAGACTTGACACTGCCTAAGCAGATCGGGGATCAGCTCTGAAACTAGCAGGTATTCATTGACCAGTGAGAGCAAAAAATATTAATTAAAAGAAATGTGTGAGCATGTTAAGTGACAAGGGTGTGAAAACTGGGCTTTAGGTCGCTTTAAGTGTTAGACATCCTAATACCTTTATAACCTTCATGACTCATTTATATGGACATTTCTTTTGGCAATCATCTTGCCGCAAACAACTCCTGCTCCATCTGCTTATTTTCACCCCTGCTCCACACCCCCAGCCATGCTGGTACAAGACTTTATTAAGAACACTCTGTGAATTACATTAGGACATAGTTAGGAGTTAAAAATACTCCTGCCAAGAAACTCCAATGGTTATTTTTAAACTTACAACTATGTTTTATTATTCATAAAGAAGAGGGAGGCTGAATAAAGGCAGACAGACAAAATTATACAGGACATGTATTTACACTTAGGTACTGTTATCCCAGGGGTGAGGATGTGATTTCAGCACTGCTTCAGGTATCAAAGCACCCTTTCTGCAAGTCTTTATCTGGCACTCTTGAAAGCTGTAACAGTGACAACTGCCCAGGATCAGCAAGTACAGCATGTACTTATTTATTGTTTTCCTCCTCATGTGCTTCCCGAATCTCTGCTATTAACAGCAAAACACAAGCAACTCTTAAATCCTGGAGAATAAAGAGGAAGCAGAAAAAACTGTGAGGGTTTAGGCAATAGCCAGCTTTATACTGGAGAATGCAATTGTGCACTCTGACTGCGAAAGCTAGTAAAGCCATTTTCCTGCAAACAAAATATGCACACAGTGTATGTGTGCATATGTATATGTTTATACATATATTTTATACATATATAGTCACTCTCTCTCTCCCACAATCTCCATATAAGAACACAAATAGTTGTTGACGTTACCAATTTATTGAGAAACTCTATTGCATTTTTAAAATCAGAAACCTAAACCAAGCATAATTCGAGGCTAGTCTAGTAAGCTAACAATACCAGTACTGCATCAGAAGAAAGATCACTTGTAACTTGGTCCTGTTTCCAAGGGGCCAAGCGAGATTATTAAGGATAGAGCAAGAACAGGGACTCGGTACTCCCTAGTGTAACCACAGGGCCTCTAAAAACAACCACTTTTTAGGGAAATGCTGAAAGAAAGTTTGTGTTGCAGCGGGTACGCACACTCTCGTGACTAAGATCTGTGCTCCTGTGCTGGCAGTAAAACTCTGTATATCTGCGTACTGCAACTTGTCAGTCATTCAGTGCCCTACTGCCAGCATAATGGCACCCAGGTTGCCTTCATTTGAGCATGATTTCACAGAAAAATCTGCATATAATCACAGCTGCTAGCCTTCCCATGATTTTTTTTTTTGCTAAGTTTGCACGAGAAGCACCTGTTAGCGGAGGAGCTAGCGCTGGGTCACGGGTCTGACAAACGACTGCTGTTCAGCTGCTTGTGGATGTTTAAATGATAACGCTCACAGTTTGTGGGCTGTGGGGCAGCTGGTATCTACAAAGAGAACAGTATCTTGCCTGTATAACAAGCCATGCAAACCTCAAATGCAGCTTAAGAAAGCAGCGACTTTCTTTGGTGTGAACTGTGGGTTTTCTTCGCCAGAGTCCCACTTTGACCTACCACACCTACACAGTTTTCCTAAATACTTACATGTTCTCTGCTACATCTAGCACAACCCTGCAACCAGACTGCTCTAAAGAGTCCTTCTTAAACCCTCAGGATGGAGTTTAGTTTCCCTTCCCAATGCAATACCAGTTCAGACCATTTGTCCAGAGCTCTCCGACACAAACCGCAGGGCATCTGTGGTGGAGGATCACCACCTATGAAACCCTTGTAATACTTGGCCACAACTTCTCTTCACGGTCAGCTGCCAGGGTGTCTGAGGGCATCCAGACACTGGGAGAACAAGACGTAGCATCTTTTTTTTTTTTTTTTAAGAATCCAGAGACCGTATTTAGTGGTTGGAGAAGTGAGAACGGGGATGCACCATGAGCTGCCATCAATGCTGCCAGGAGGAGCAGGGAAGCTGGTGTGGACCAGCGCTGACAAGAAAGGTGCTCTGACTCTGCCTCCACTTGTAGAGGAAGGTGACACCTGATATTATTCCTCAGATACTCATCAGCATGATAAAAAATTGAAAATACATGGAAACATCACGTACACAAAGGAACAGACATGCGTTTAAATATTAGCTCACACATGTGTCTTTGTATCAGTATTTAATGGCTTCTTGACATAAAATTATGTATAAACCGCCAGCTTCATTTCCTATTACTTTTGGAGAAGAACATGGAAAGGAAAGTATACTAGTTGCGTTGTACGAGGTATATAACAAACATGACTGTTCTTAGAGCACTGGTTTCTAACTTGTTGGCAAACCTAATTCTTATTTCTAATTCCAGGGCACCTTTGCACCTATAAAAGCAAACTACCTAAACCAGGTGGTATCCGGTAACACAAGAAAACACAGACACCCCACCAGCCTCTAACAAATAAGCAGTTGTTCACTAATTACTTTGTCTGGAAATTAAATCAGTCTGAAGAGCCAGACGCAGAGAGCTGGCCTTGTGACTGCAATCACAAGATGGGGGATCAGAGAACAGGTTGGGGCTGGCAGGCTCCCCACCGGCCTCGCAGCGCCCAGCCTGCCCCTGCCCCTGCCCCGCGCAGCACCGAGCCGGTCCTGGACCCTCTGCAGCGGCAGCTCACCCTTCCCTGAGAAAACAAGGCAGCTGAAATGGAGATGCTCTTTGAAATGTCGGCTCAAATGTGTCTTTGGGCATTTGTATCAAAAGTTGGTACTTTATTCTGTTTTCCACAAAATGTACACACAGGGAGTTTTGTTCTTCTTTTAATAAAGCCAACTGATGTTTCTGGAAAAATCAGGCAAGACTCCTTTTCATTTATAAAATGGAAGCAGTGTACTTCAGGCTAATTACAAACAGAAAACATGAAAGAGCTCCTAGTTTACATAGATTATACTGCCCAGTTAGGCTCATAGTGAGAAAAGGGTGGTTGGTGCCTACAGAACAGAAGAGAGGGATTAAGAAAATGAAAGATGACAAAATCATTAACTCCTGCAGGACTGCTAAGATAAATGTATCTATTTTCCAGAGATATCAAAGGCTCAAACGTGGGTGAAGCAGGGAACAAAATGAACACAGAGATAGAGGATCTGCACACAGTTACCCAGAGGTGCAGAGCCCCAGAAGTTTCAAGGAGACAGTCCCTACCATTCAGGCTTCATATCATCATGGACAATACAAACCCCATGCATTGCTACTGAAAACACTTCCAGGTTTTGTTCCTAGCTTTCTGCAAATACAGATGTGGTTTCAGAAAACAGAAAGATGAAAACCTCAAACCAAGCATGTGAGCTGATTCCACTGAACTAATTTTAATACTTCATGGAGATAGGCAACAGATAGGCTTTACCACTGAGATCTGCCCTGGGGGAGGGGGGTACTCTCACCCGCTGCACTGACTCACATCATGGTTTTGCAGGATCCTGTTCACCAGGAGCCAAGCAGGTTTCTGGTAGCAGCTTTTGCAGTCCTGGCCACTACGATCGATGAAGGGAGTTTGGCAACCCAGCTTGCAGAGGGTGTTGGCCAGGACAGCTAAGTACTCGATAAACAGAGCTTGGCCTAAGCATTCTTGTCAGCTGCTGAGCAGATCACCTGGTGAATACTTTATCACTTTTGAAGAGATGCCTCTGTGGAGGAGATAATACACCCGCTCAATTACCCGGTCAGCTGTGCTCGGGCTGAGTGTGAGAGGCCAGCCTAATCCCAGCCCTAGGCACCACCATTTGTGATGTCTCATCAATCCAGCATTGCACTCAAATGCACCGTCAGCACATGCCCAGGAAAGAAAGAAGTCAACTTCTCCCCACACCCAGCTGCAGCATCACCAGCCTCGTCATCACGTGCAGCAAAAAGCCTAAATCTGAGTCACCGGCGTGCCCGGCGCCCACTTACCAGGTGACACACTATCTGTGTTTTGCCCTTTTGATTGTCTGGTTTCCTGTTTTGTTCCTGCATGGACAATTTTCTCCTAACAACTCAGCATGATTTATTATTCCAGCACAGGAAGAGAAAAAGGAGGCTGCTCAAACGAAAGGAAAGCAGTGAGGGTAAAGGGAAGGGAAAGGGCCACGAAGGC